TTCATTTCTAGTAAAAACCATCTGTTAGAACTCAACACTCAATTTTACATAATATTTCAGAATTTTATTCATTACAAAACACGACTTTAAAACGTGTATGTTACAAATACCTCCTCCTTTTGAGGATTTCCTCCCCGAAATTACATCGATTAAAATAAATGGGGATATTTTGCTTTTATCTCATTCTTATTCTCCCAAGTATAGTTTGGGCCACGATGGTGTTTCCACTTGACAAGCACCAATTCTACTTCTTTATTGCGTAGCTTAGTTGTTCTTTCATTCACGATTTCTTCAGGCTCTTCTACATATCTTAACTTATTATCCAATTTCACTTCGGATAATGGAACTGTCTCATCGTAGATGCTCAAGCATTTGCGCAGATAACTTACATGAAACACATCATGAATACCTGCCAAATCTTCAGGCAATTCTAAGCGGTAAGCTTGCTTTCCAATTCTCTGGATGATTTTGAAAGGACCAACAAATCTAGGACTCAACTTTCCTTTCTTCCCAAATCGCATAAGGCCTTTCCATGGGGATACCTTCAGCATCACGAAATCACCCACTTGGAATTCAATAGGTCGTCTTCTCTTTTCCGTATAGGACTTCTGTCGATCCTGGGCCGCTTTCATTCTTTCTCGTACGATTTGAATCTTGTCGGTAGTGTCTTGAATCATTTCAGGGCCTCCAAGGATCTTCTGTCCTACATCACGCCAACATAACGGCGTACGACATTTGCAGCCATATAATGCTTCATATGGTGGCATTTTGATTGAAGTGTGGTAACTGTTATTATACGAAAATTCGACAAGCGGTAAGTATTTATCCCAGTTACCACCGAACTCCAAAACACATGCACGAAGCATATCTTCTACTGTCTGGATTGTTCTCTCTGTCTGACCATCTGTTTGAGAATGATAAGCGGTGCTGAGAGCAACTCGAGATCCCAATTCGTGTTGCATACTCTCCCAAAAGTGAGAAGTGAAACGAGTATCGCGATCGGAAATGATCTTTAGTGGCACACCATGTCTTGCAATAATTTCATCCAAATATACAATGTGCGTATTTCTCCATTGGAGCCGTTTCACGCATAGCGAGAAAATGTGCACTCTTAGTCAGACGGTCGACGATTACCCAAATGCTATCATTCTGTCTAGCAGTCTTTGGCAATTTGGTAATAAAATCCATGGACAGCTCTTCCCACTTCCATACAGGAACACTAAGGCTTTCTGGAGTTCCATAAGGCTTTTGGTGTTCTGTTTTGACTTGTAAGCATACTAAGCATTCCTGTACATATCTTCCAATGTCTCTCTTTAATCCAGGCCACCAATAATCAGCTCTTACATCATAGTACATTTTACTTGTACCAGGATGTATTGATAGCTTAGACTTATGAGCTTCATCTAAAATCTTCTGTCTTAATCCACCAATCTTTGGAATCCATAGCCGATTCTTAAATACTTTTAATCCTCGTGGATCATCAAGTAAAACATCGGCATAATGTACCATTCCTTCCTTCTTTACATTTTTTGGCTTTAAGGCTTCAACTTGCCACTTCTCTAGTTCATCAAGAATGGTGAACTTCACCGTAGTGTGAGTAATAGTATAACACATACTATTACGATAAACTTTCCTGCTAAGTGCATCTGCAACCACATTAGCCTTTCCAGGATGGTACAGGATTTCACAATCATAGTCTTTGATCAGCTCCATGGCTCGTTGTTGTCTCATATTCAGAGTTTGCTGACTGAATATATACTTGAGACTCTTGTGGTCGGTAAATAATTGGCATTTTGTACCAAAAAGGTAATGTCTCCAAAGTTTTAGGGCACATACTACTGCGTCGAGTTCAAGATCATGAGTGGGATAATTCTTTTCATAATCTTTCAGTTGTCTTGAGGCATAGGCTATCACTTTACCACGCTGCATCAACACACAACCGAGTCCCAATCTTGAAGCATCACTATATACGGAGAAATCATCATCACCTTCTGGGAGTGATAAGATGGGAGCATGAGTCAAAAGATCTTTTAGAGTTGAGAAAGCTTTTTCTTGATCTTCACCCCATTCGAACTTCACTTCCTTCCGTGTAAGACTTGTGAGAGGTACGGCTATACGAGAAAAGTCTTTAATGAATCTCCGGTAATATCCCTCGAGACCTAAGAAACTTCGAATTTCGGAAGCATTACGGGGCACTTCCCAATTTTGAATGGCTTCGATTTTGATGGGATCTACAGATACACCGCTACTAGAAATAATATGGCCGAGAAATTGAACTTGACGGAGCCAAAATTCACATTTCGAGAATTTAGCATAAAGTTTCTCCTTTCGAAGAAGTTCTAAGATTTCACGAATATGAACGGCATGATCGGCTTCAGACTTGGAATAGATTAGAATATCATCAATGAATATGATGATAGACTTATCGAGCATTGGGCGGCACACTCGATTCATCATATCCACGAATACAGCAGGAGCATTTGTCAAACCGAATGGCATGACAAGGAATTCGAAATGCCCATAACGAGTATGGAAAGCAGTCTTCGGTACATCTTGCTCTTGTACTTTCAACTGATGATATCCAGATCTCAAATCAATTTTTGAGAAATAGCTAACACCCTGAAGTTGATCGAATAAATCATCGATGCGAGGTAGTGGGTACTTGTTCTTGATAGTCACCTTATTTAGCTCACGATAATCAATGCACATTCGCATCGATCCATCCTTCTTCTTGACAAACAATACTGGAGCACCCCAAAGGAGAGGTACTCGGTCGAAAAAAGCCTTTGCCCAAGTAATTCCTGCAGTTGGATCATCATTTCTTTCATCTCGGCTGGTGCAAGACGATAAGGAGTCTTTGCGATCGGAGCAGCACCGGGCACAAGGTCAATTCGGAATTCTACTTGTCTGTCCGGAGGAAGTCCAGGCAGATCATCGGGGAAAACATCAGGATATTCGTTAACAGTGGGAATATCATTTATAGTTTTATTCTCCTTTCTTGAGATGTCAATTGTATAAGCAAGATAGATAGGACAACCTTTCGATATGAATTTAGGAGCTCTGAGGAAAGAGATTATTTTTAAGATTCTTTGTTCTCCATAGACATGAATAGGATCTTCCCCTTCAATAGGAATGCGTACAATCTTTTCATAACACAAGAGTTCTGCATGGTTCTTTGACAACCAATCCATGCCGAGAATAATCACTACTAGAAAAACAGCCTTTTACGGCGCTCATTACGCGTCGTAAAAGACTCAGACGACGCGCAAATGCGCGTCAAGGAAGGCCCTGTCATAAAGAAAGACGACGCGCTTTTGCGCGTCATCTATAGACGACGCGCATTTACGACGCTCATTTATGACGTGCAATTACGACGCGCATTTACGACATGCAATGCGTATCAAGGAAGGCCCTGTCATAAAGGAAGACGACACGCATTTGCGTGTCATAACCTTACGATGCGCGTGTTAATGACACGCAATGCGTATCAAGAAAGCCCTTATCAAGAAAGGCCATGTCATAAATGAAGATGACACACATTTTTGCATATCATAATTTTAAATGTTTAAAAAAAATATTATTTATAGATTTAATTATTTTCAAATTAAATTTTTATTTAATGTTTCATAATAGAAAATAAAATATCATATACAAAAAATAGAATCCATTGCATAAATTTAATGTTATATAATTCTATTTCTTACAATATATAAATTTGCATCTAATCTACTATGTACATCAAGTTCCAACTAAGTAAAGTTGCATCTTGCCTTTCATAATTCTTTAAAAGTAATGTTCCAAACAGCTGATTATATGGATATGCAATTGTACATTGGCCCATCTCACTCAATAATGACTTAGCCAAATTCAACTCCAAGTCTTTACTGCATCTTGCTGATAATGCTGCAAGATTTAAATCAAGTGGCTTCATATTCCTTTCTTCCATCAACTTTACCTAATGCACAAAATACACAGAAACAAAAAAAAAAACATTGTAGAGGAAGGGGTAATTTAGGAAAATGTGAGGGGTATAGTATAATAAAAATGCAAATACTTAATATCACTTTCATGCCATCATGGAAACCTGTTGTGAATTACATAAAGGCCCTACACCAACACAAGGCTTTTGTTTGATTATGATCCTCAGCTGTTAAACCAAATACAAAAAGCATGTCAGAAGAATAAAACTAGATGTAGATGAAACTTTAAAAGAGGTTGATCCATCACATTACATAAAGGCCCTCCACTACCTTAAGCAATATTTGTAGAAAAAGTACTTCTTCAGGGCTAAGGTTGCCTACATAAACGGTTGTGTACTGATAACTCTTAATTTGAGAAATTTTTCAAAGACAAGTCCATCATTTTCAGCCATTGACAATTCCTGGACAACTTTTTCAAGTCCTTTGCTAATAGCTTGCATTTCCTCTGCCAAATATTTTAATTGTACCTGAAAAATAATAAATAATCAATAAATTCTTAATTACATTTACACATGTTTTAAATTTCTAAATATTTGAATAAGATTAATTGTGATCACCACCCTTGATGCAGGTTCCAAACTGTCAAGATCCTTGGAGAAATCAAGGAGTTCAGGTAGTTTGTCAACAAGCACCAAAAATTAATTAATTATCCACAACATTATCTTGTTATTTTAAAATTTAATTATTTTCCATACAACATATTAATCAAATCTGAACCAAATAGCAGCGCCTAAAATGACACCAAATTAATCAAAGTCAAAGTCAAAGTCAAAATCAACTATAACAAAATATTATTATATTTAATAACATAAAATAAACAAATGAAAATATTGACCTCTTGTTGTTCCTTGGTTCAAAGCATTTCCAAGTGTGACAATTGTTTGCATTACTCTCCTGAACTTACAGGAACTTCTGATCTGATAAAAGTTTAATTAGATTAAATTCTTGGATTCGTGAATTGAATCATAACTATGCTACTGTTATAGCAAGAAATGGTTATGTGGGTGCTATAGTTGAAGGATGCTTCTCCATATGGAAGGTAATTTAGAGGGTCGAAGGAATCTGCTTTTTGATTAAAAGACCAAAATACCCTCGTTATATATATATATATATATATATATATATATATATATATATATATATATATATATATATATATATATATACACACAATACATTGAACTAAAATTTTCTTTTTTAGTGGTGAGGGCAGGGGGCTTGAACCAAGGTCATCTGGACAAAATGTTGGTGGGCCTCCTAGTTATGAAGATGCTGTGAGTGACGGTCATAGCCCTGTTGATACCAAGAGGTAAATTAATTAATTAATAAGTCAAAAGATTTATTTACTTGTAAATTGTAATATATATATATATATATATATATATATATATATATATATATATATATATATATATATATATATATATATATATATATATATATATATAGTAATGGAATCTAGTCTAACTTGTAAGCATTTTAAGGACTGGTGAACATTAACCATCAAGAAATTCCGGCAGCAACTGCTCCACCACCACCAGCTGCCGCCGCCACACCACCTCCAGTTACCACTACGCCGCCACCACCTGCAGTGACAGTCAACAATGAAAACGATGGGTTTGACTTTTTGATCCCCGTGGTGTTGTTCCTGCTCCTGCCCTTGCGTTTGCCCTGCAAGGATCAGGTGGTGGAGAGATGGAGGATTTGTTTGGTTCTCTATCAGAGTCTTTCTCTTCTTCAAATGCTCTGGCTATTGTAACATCTAGTTCATCTATAACCACTGAAGTTCATCCTCCAGCAAATACTAATCCTTATCTCACCTTCGATACCTCATCGACAAGTCGGGTGCGTGAGTGTCTTAAAAGCTGGATTCTACACACACATATTGATAGTTTGTTTATGTTGTAAATTTACACTCTTTATGCATTGATTGCAGGCATTTGATGATCCGTTTGGTGATGGTCCTTTCAAAGCTGTTCCTTCTACTGATGGATTTTCGGCTTAACCACCAACATCACCCTTCACTACAACTGTTGCTGAACCACCATCATTTTCAGTTGACCCAATGTCAGGGTCAGGGGGATTTGGGGATACTTTTGATTTTGATTCAACTGTTGACATTTTTAGCTGATATATTGCCTCCACCTGGACCCTCGCAAACTGCTTTTCCTTCTCAAAATGGTCAAGCATCTAGTCTTTCAGCAGAAGCAGCCTATGCCACAGTTAGCTTTTCCACCTCAAGGTGTCCAGCAGCAGCAACCTATGCCACAGTTAGCTTTTCAACTTCTAGGTGGACACCAATCTATGCCACAATCAGCTTCTCAACTTCCAGGTGTCCAGCAGCAGCAGTAGTTGCCACAGTCAGCTTTTCAACTTCCATGTGGCCACCAGTCAGCTTTTCAAAGTCTAAGTGTTCAGCAGTCTATGCCACAGTTAGCAGCTTTACAATTCCAAGGAGGCCAACAGTGTATGCCATAGTCAGCAGCTTTTCAACTTCCATATATGCATTAGGTCACATTTTGTGCAATGTATACGTCTTGATTCATCAGAAAAGTAATCACTAGTCTCTTGATGAGATGTACTCACAATCTTCTGATGGATGAATCCTTTGATGCCATTCAAGACTACTTTGGGTATCTAACCCTGAATCCAATCTTCTGATGGATGAATCCTAAAAACACATGCAAGGTGTTTAAAGAGATCTCTTACTCTTTACATATAGCCAGCATGAATATTAATGTAGCATATGAATTTTAAATAGCAGTACCTGCTCCACATTATTAAATTACTGGAAATGACATGGAGCATTATGAAGTGGGGCCTCACATATTGCAATTCGAAATGTGTTTATGGGATACAAAGCCTGGATAGAATCGCTTGCAATTTAGTCTGTCATTAGAATATTTTTTCAAAGTTGTAAATCTTGAGAACAGAGCTGACATAAAATCATAAACAAATATATATAGTCATCCTTCCTGCCAAAGAGTTACCTTTAAGTACATTAGACCCAAAGCAATTATAGCCCCAAGTGCAGTTACATCTATATTGATCTGGGTTCCATCCATCATCTGCAAGCAACAGAAAACAAAAGCAGAAAATTAATGAAAAAATAGAAAGGGTAATCAACTTTCCAAAAAAACAAGTAAAAAGCACAACCTGCCCCGAACCACGATTGTGGTCATCCATTGATCCGTTGGAGAGATGGGATCTTTCCTGAGAAAAGGCAATTTAACAAAAAAAAAAGTCATCTACATGAAATATTAATTCTAGTCATCTTTAAAGTTTAGCGTGTGTGTGTGTGTGTGGAAAAGATACTTGGACTAGGGTGGATGCGATTAGCCTACCGCCTACTGTTTTGCTCAATGTAACCCCAACAAACATATGATATTAATTCTCCACTGAAATTGAAACAAGAGAAGAAAATATTTACATTAGGAAAAAGAATAATCACTGCATTATAACAATGGAGAACACAACCTTAAGCATGTATTTTGCTCGATGGAGCCTTCATTGTTAAAGGAAGTGATAATCTGCAAGGCAAGAGTTTCTAAAATGTGTAGGAACTACTTATCGACATTCTCAGGATTTCTTTTAGCTTCCTCCTCCTGAAGATAAAAGACCATGTTAATTAGATTCCTTGTCAAATGTTTGAAAGTCCTGTATATAATTCAGCCTTACGTACAGTCAGTTCCTTCTTAATCATTTTTGTTGAATCAAGAAGGCGCTCTTCATCAATAAAAGGAAACTTGCAGATACCCTACAAAATAGATATTTTTTAAACATAAGAAAATTATAGGCATATTAAACATGGTTGTTGAAGGGATCCATAGGCGTTTGGAACAATAATCATATCCCCTAACCTGCCAAATAAATCTTTTTCCATCTGTGTCGACATCAAAATCTGAGTATAAACAACAACATATGTATATAATCAATAGTGTTCATAATGATATTAAGCAACAAAATTTATCTATTAGACAGCTTAGAATGGGACATACCATCAACATAGAAATCAAGAATCCTTGAATCATCAGTTGTCATGAGTGACCGATATGAAGGTGGAAGTGCATGGGCACTACAAGAGCACAAATTAGATAAGATCATGAAAAAAAACCAGATCAACCAATGTAACCAAGTTTATAAAAAAGAAATTTAAGAACATACCTAGTTTCACCTAACAAAATTTAGTTTAACTATTTCTTAGTTGTGATAATCTACAGCCTGAAAAGAAGGAATGTTCACAAGAACGATCCTTAGTTACCATCTCCAACAAATTAAGAAAAAGAATAAATACAGGCTTGCCCTGTATGCATTCGAGTGCAAGGTGTGATTAGGTACCATATCACTTGGTCTTGTGTATATCAGGTAATGTTATAAGGTATGAATTAGGTAAGATTCTTCTTTTAAGCATTTCTTCGAACACTTGGAGTGCATAGCTCATCTCCTTCCTTTTCTGCAAGTTTCCAGAATCTAGGGTTAAATATTTTATTCTCAAAACATATGTTCAATATTATCAATACAAGCAGAAAGTAAAGAGACCACAAGAACATACAAAAATACCTGCTTACTTTTTTTGAAAGAGCAAAGGATCGAGAATTTTGAGGTAAGGATGATGACGATGCGCTGGCTGTGAGCATATGCAAGCAATAGAAACAGGAAAATGAAGGCTGAGAAATTAAATCTAGCTAGTGTTTGCAAACACATTTGAACCTAAAAATTGATTTCAGGGGCAATCTTGCGAGGATTTCGAGAAGGAGAGACTTAGTGAGGTTTTGAATATTGTATGAGAACGTATGAGCAAGGAGAACAAGCCCAAGAACTGATGATTCTGAAAGAGGGTTTACTTGTGTTGAATCGATTAGTGTGATTACCTGAGATTGAGAGTGTTTTCTCTTTCTTGAATAGGTGATGATCTGATAACGGTGGCTTGGAAATGAGTTCTGATCACCATCATCGTCGATGTGATTGCCGAATTGATTGATTGAATTGTTGGGTTCCATTTAACGGTGGTTTGAGGTTGGAAATGGAAATGGAAAGAGCGCCACCAAGGAGATTGGGGAGCGAAAGAAGAAAGAATTAGAGATGTTCGAAGTGTGGATTGAGTTTTTTGGGTTCAATTTCAACTCAATTAGTAAAGATTCCAAAATGATTACACCTCCCTGTACCCCACTCAATAATCGAAACCATTGAAATTCTTGAATTTTGTATGAACTTTTCTCATGAATGATGTTCACGTCGTCGGCTCCAAAGCGCCATGATCATGCCGAGATCCAGAATCGTATACGTTGTTGTTTACAAATTTGTTGTTGAACCCTGAATAATCGACCTAGGTATTCCCACCGCTGAAGATGAAGATGAAGGACCTAGGGCTTTTGCTTGCTAAGTAGAAGAGGCAGGCGATTAATTTTTGGGATACAATAGGCGCCAGTAATTTTAGTCGATTTCATTTCCCGCCTAAAACGCGTGTTTCACTTAAAAATTATAAAGCGACACACTTACATGACGCACAATTTATGAAAGGCGCCCTCCGCATTTATTTATTTTTCTTTTCTAACACCAATTTTAGGGCGCGCACAAATGCGTGCCCTCTATCCTTCAAATTTTGCAAAACTGACAGTATTTTTTAGGGCACTTACAAATGTGCGTCCTCTATCAACGAGTGTCATTGTTTGCGCGTCATTAAAGGGCTTTTTTCTTGTAGTGAATATCGAAATTGGGCAAGGAGATAGGGATTAGGTTAGCAAGAAAATTATAGCCTTCAATTTCTATGACACAATCCCTATAGATTTTATCAGCAAGTAATGATATACTTCCTGCAGTATCTACGTGAAATGGTTGCGCGAGTGCATAGCAAACAGTTTGAAAAGAATGCGCAAATTCATAAGATACGAAAGAATCCGAGGCACCAGAATCAAATAAGATGCGAGCAGGTCTAGAGTTGACAAGAAATGTACCCGTCATGACATTTGGGTCCTCACGTGCTTCCTCTGTGGTAATCTGGAATGCACGACCCTTAGCTTTTGGCACCTCCTCCTTTTTAGCTGGAGGATTCTTCGGTTGTTGGACAGGGACTTGACTTCTCACTAGTTGTTGAATAGAAGCTTGACTTCCCGTCACTTGGCTGGTAAGAGTAGGGCAAAAACGCTTCTTGTGGCCAGTAATACCACATGCATAACAAGTCACATCCTTCCTTGGGCAAGCTGGCTTGATATGACCTGTTTCTCCACACCCATAACAGACAATGGATTCCTTGTCTATTTTGCATTAACCCGGATGATTCCTTCCACAAACGCGACATGATGGTGATTGAATAGAAAAAGATTGTGACCTACCACGACCATGAATAGCACTCTGAGATTGTGCTTGTTTGTTAGGATGAGTTCGAATAGATTGAGCTGGTGGAATAGTGGAAGCAGGAGTAGTTCTTTCAGTACATGGATGCTTTGGAATAGTAAGAGTGGCACCACGTATTTCTAAGTCATGCTCACTCCTTTGAGCATACTCAACGGCTTTATCGAATGACAGAACATCCCTGTTCACAACGAAATCATGGATTCCGTGTCGTAGTCCCTCCATGAATAACTGAATTTTCTCGTCTTCAGTTGGAATATACTTCGAAGCAAACCTTGCTCTTTGATTAAATTGAGTTTCATACTCATTCACAGTCATTCCTCCTTATTTAAGCTCGACGAATTCCTTCTCCAATCTTCTCCTCATACCTAGAGGACAATACTTCTCCAGCACACGAGTCTTGAACAACTCCCAGGATAAGTTCTCATGGTCACATCCATCGAGAGCTTCATATGTTGCTTCCCACCAGACTAAAGCTTCTCCAATGAGCATTGTAGAAGCATAAATAGCCTTATATTCATCATCCACATGAGAAACACGAAATACTTTCTCGGTGTTCTAAATCCAAGTTAGAACAATTATAGGATTAAGGACACCAGAAAACTCCATAGCACCACTACTCTTCAAATCTTTGAATGAGGGACGCTTCACCTTTCCGCTTGAAGATTCTCCAGTGACTTTCTCTTTTCCTTTATCATCATTCTTTTTGTGTTCTTCGAGAGTTTGTCGAATAACACTGGTAAGTTTACCTAGATGTCGCTCCTCACGAGGAGATACTGGAGTATTCACTTCCTCGGGTTGAGGATCTCCACCAATATCTGGGGTATGGCTACTTTACTTGTTCAACCATCGATCTGAAATACGGAGTAAGATAGTATTTTAGAATATTAGGGTTTACTATTACCTAATACTTTTACTTATATATTTCCTATGGTTTGTATCCCTATACTTACAGTGATTAAGTTCATATATTGAACTTCCTATAGTTTAAGTCTAAATACCAATTCGTGGAATTTACTTTGCTAAAACTACTGCTCTGATACCATGGTTGAGAGACCCCAACTTTGGTATTTTTGAAAGATCCAAACTTTCATATTTCACATTATCATTACTCCAAAACATGTTATTTGCATATTCATAAAAAGCAATATTTTACATTGATATAAAGGATTTACAAACTATTGGATACAAACCTTCTATTACAAAGTGTTAT